TTTTTAACAATTCAAATAAAATACTTATTTATATAAGTAAAACACTTGCAAGTAACGGGCATACCATATCTAATGCTCACCCCTAAGTACTTCAACTCCAAATATTGTAAGACAATTGGCACATTTAGCATGTATACATTAGTTTCACTTCCATATGTTCGGAAAGGCCTGGCCCAGCTCAGCCCAACCCAACCCAAATTAAATGTATGTACTCTAGTTCTGGGCTTAGGGGCCAGATTACTTACCTGGAGCGAGGACCGCCGAACGAATCTCCATATTCCCCTCTCGTGTCTCCTACCGCCATCAATATCAGTCCCGCCTAAAACTCCTCCAGGCTCCAGCTCCCCTTGGTTGCTCCACTCTCTCAGAGGACAATGGCGATAGATCTGGTTTCCCTCTCTTCTTCTTCTTCTTCTTCTTCCTCGCATTACAGCCCTCATCTTCCCAATCATAAGCTGCTCCTTGATCCTTTTCTCGTCACAAGGTCAGCTCTTAATTTCCCTCACCAGTTCTCATTTCTCTTCTGAGTTTCCTGTATTTTGTTACCGATGGAATAAGAAGTAAAATTTTAAGAATTTTTATTTATTTGCATTCTAGTTTGAGTGAAATCCTGTGATTTGAGAGTTCAATTTGTCTAGTTTTTACTTGGCCTTGGATTCAAGGCTTGCTTGTCTGCTCTTGCTGCTGCTCTTTTGTTGAGAGAACTATGGAGGTGCGATTGATGTTATGCTTTGTTCTGTTACTTAGCAGAACTTACTAAAATGGCTGTTGTAGGGCTGTACAGTGTGGATTTTTAGTTAGGGTTTTCATGAGAGGGGAATTGAAGTGATCATCTAATAATATACTTAGTTAACCAAGTATTATGTGCATCTAAATGGCGCTGTCCCTGTAGGTCTGTGTGCAGCTCTGTTTTTTACTTTTAGACATTTGGCATTAGGTATTCAGAAATTTTTTTATGAAAGAAAAAAAAAAGGGAGGAACAGAAAACAAAAAAGATAGGGAAAAGCATCAAAGGTAATGGAACAGAATTTAAATGATTAACTTCTCCTTTCTTCATCATTTTGTCTGTTCAGAATAGAACATGGTTGGTACTGGCCGTTGAAAATGATTTCTCATTATCAATGTTAGTGTGGCGGGTACAGATGTGAAATGCAAACGGGGGAAGTTACTTGCAGACATGGCAGACCCTGGTGATGAAGTACTCATTGCAAGGGGTGGTCAAGGATGGGTTAGAAATTGACATTTTAAACCCAAAGAAAGAAATATAATTTGCTCTATTTTATAAGCATGAACCTACATGCCTATCTCAATCTGTATTTCACAATTTGATTTGCTTTATTTTGCTGGCTAGATAAAATTTGCTTGATTTGGTGGCAGATTAATTAGTTTGTTAGAGATGCCAGAATGCAGAAAAGGTTGCTGACTTTAACCACAAATGTGATTAGTCATGATAGTGATAAGGTGAAGATTTTGCTTTTGACTTTATTATTTTAGTATATTAATGAGTATTTCATCATGTGTACTAGTTTAACCTGATCAAGTTTTATTTTTTTGGTTGTAGTGCATAACAGCAGAAGCTTAGAGTGAGTGTCAGATTAATAACACTTATAACATTAACCATTTTGTTTGTTTCTCAAAGATCTGTGATGAATATCCCTTCAACAGTGAAAGGAAAATTAGGGTAAAGAACATAGAATTCCTGTTCTGCAGAAATATGATTCTGATGCAATGAAGGATAAACCTGCTTAGGCGTGGGATTCCTAAATCATTTTCTTGCATAAGGTGATATTCCTTTCTTGTACTAAAAACTCAGATAAGATTTTTTTAAAAAAAATATTTATTTATTGCAAGTTTTGGTTCTCATCTTCTTGATTAACCTGGGGAGGAAGTTAGTTTGAAGTTGATTCTGCTATTTCAGGCATCAACTAGGCTTTCATTTTTAACTGAAGAAAGTTTAACTATTGGAGGTGACAAAGCACCTGTTGAGTTACAAATGAGTTATGAAGTTGCAGTTAATTCATTGTCCACTGAAGTCGGCAAGGCATATATATCATCTTCAGAGATATCTCATGAAGAGAAGGATAAAATAATCGAGGACTATCCTAGGCCTGCTGCTGTTGAAACATTATCTTGCAAATCTTGGCTCGTCATGTTTTCTTTCTCATAACTGTATACTTGCAACCAAAGCCAATCAAAACTATTCTTCAATGTTGTTTTTAACACCTAGACATAGCCTATAGGATGCTTTCGTAAATTTACCTTTCTTCCATTTTCATGCCTCAAAGAAGGAGGGCACCTTTTCAGTAAATGAAATATTTTTTGGTAGGATGCATTGTCTAGTATAAATTACGTTAGCTATATAGACTACCCGGCTAACTTGTTCACTCATTCACAAGTATGCAATTACAGTTGAATTTCTGTGCGACAGATCCGCTGGTACTTTTCTCTGACTCCCAGATGAAGACAGGATCAAGGAGTGTTATGGGTTTCTTGATTTTAGCGGATGTCTGATGTCTTAATTTCATGTTTTCTTACTCAGGTATCAAGGTTATGAGGTTTATGAACCAAGAGGTGAGTTGTAAATGTGTTCGCAACCCCAATGGCCAATCTGATCTGGCTTGGACACTAGTTAGCTTGCTAGAATTTTTGCCTGGGACAAACTCGAGAAACAATTTATGCCTCCTTCTATTGTGGAGTTACCTCATTGGCTTCCTCAAGATGCTTTGATTAACAGAAACAACATTGTTGCCCTTGCTTTCTTGTAAGTTCTAATTTATCATCTTATTTTCCGCAGCTTATATTTTTATCCCGCCCACTAGTATAGTTTTATGATAGCTAGTGGTGTATTAAGTTATCAACTTGTATATTTTTTAAGCTTCTAGTTTTCTTTAAGACTTGGTCGACAAAACTTCATAATCAGGCTTTTCAAGTCATATTAGTCAAAAAAATATTCATCAAGGTTAAATGATTTTGTATTCTTATATAGATATAAATATAACTTATATGACTATCGTTCATTAGGCTAGGTTATGTGACTGTGCCTTGTATTGTAAGTTAGAATCCTCAGGAAATATTGGGCAAACATTAATCCCATGAAATACTTGGCACCTTAGAGTCGTGCCTTATGAATGTTGACATTGTACTTTAGCATGCCTTATTTTGTTAATGTGAAAACTGAATTATCTGAAGATGGTCATAGTTTACCACCCGATACCAGGAATTGAAGTCAGCAAATTTAGTTGTTATTTGTTAGACCTAGATTTACAGTGGCAAACTAAAGCTACTCAATTAATCTAGGGCTTTGCGAGATCAGAGTTAGAACTTAGAAATGAGATTTGATGAATACCTAATGTAGAACTTAGATTGATCCAGTATTGTATGCCTTGATGGGGCTGCTATTTTGCAACTTGCATGGCATTTCATTCCCATCTCATTCAAGAAAAAGGGCCTTCACAGTTGGTAGTCTCTCCAGATACATGACATGTTACCAATATTGCACACAGCAGTGCATACACTTGCTGGGATTTTAATGGCACTGGCACTGCATTTTATTATCTCTGTAGCAGCTTCCTGCACTCGATCAGTGGATCTATAGAATTTAATGCTGTACACGTGTCATATGTTGACGCACAACCGAGTTGTAAGCTGAGTTCATATCCGTCTTGACCCGGAAATATTCACTGTACGTACTGAAGGATCTTCCTCGGGAAACTTCTGGCAGCGTGGATCACACCGATTCATGAATATCAGACGCCAAATTTGAATATCAGAAGCCAAATTTGAAGCTAGGTTCACGGTTTCACGCACTGACTTCCAAAGTTCCACCCCCTCATTTTACTTGGGAGCTCCCACGTATCATAACTCCCTTGCTAATTGTCATTTGCTCCTTTTAGAAACCCCCGCATGCTCAGATGTTCTTATCTCCAACCGTTTTTCCCCTGCCCAAATACATTGTCCCGAATACTGGATAACCATTTTCTTTATCTTCCTTTCTCTCAAATGTTTTCCACCAAGAAAACAAACCTCATTTTCCTTTTTTCAAAAAAAAAAAAAGGAAAAAGAAAAATTTTTTTTCTTTCCCTTATCCGTTTGACATGCCACCTGAGCTTGTGTACTGACAAGAGCCTAAGCCAAGTGTGTCAATTAGAGATACCATTTAGCCTTGCTGTCAACAGGAGCAGATTGGTTCTCCGTGCCAGGTAACTGTTTGAACTCACACCTTAAGACACGTTTCAAATTGCTTAATTGCTTATTTTAAGCTATTATCTCTCTTGCTTTCATATAAATAGCGCCACTCTGCTTCTCCGATGTGTTTACAAATCAAGCACCAACCTTACATTATATCCGACTTTCTGATCTGTTGGCGCAATGTCAACGTCAATCATGAAACAGCTGAAGAAGCCGGCTCAGGCAAGCTCAAGGAAAGGGTGCATGAGAGGCAAGGGAGGTCCCCAGAATGCTCTCTGCACCTACAAAGGTGTCCGCCAGAGAACTTGGGGCAAATGGGTGGCTGAGATCCGTGAACCAAATCGTGGTGCACGTCTCTGGCTTGGGACTTTTGACACCTCTCATGACGCCGCCATGGCTTATGATGCTGCTGCTCGGAAGCTCTATGGATCAGATGCCAAGCTGAATTTGCCAGAATTAGGCGTTAACTCTCAGTATCAACCCTCTTCTGCCAGCACCACGGTCGCACCTGCTGGGATCCAATCCCAGAACCTGAATAATCCAGCTACTACAGGCTCATCAAATGCCCCAGTTATGAGGGCTCATGATGTGAGTCCAATCTACAGTAACAACTCAAACATCTCTTTCCCAAACAACATTGGCTGCCCTGGGAATCTGGCTGAAAACAAGGTGCAAATCGGCCAAACTGAAGAGGGAATCAATGGGCTGTGGGAGAACTTGAACTGGGAGAGTATGAACGCGAACCTGCCAGTGTTAGACGAGTCTATATGGGCAGAGGCAACCATGTCTCTCGATCTCCCACTGGTGGAAGAGGATCCAAGCTGTTTCACCAACAGCCTTACGGATACAAGTGGGTGGGATGCTTTGCAGTCTCCTTGGTGCGTGTAGGGCAAGAGGAAGAAACAAGTGGCATAAGCATGCGTGCATAAGTAATGTGAATATGGAGTTACGCAGAGCAGAAAATATGGTATGAGCTCAGGTGAGTAACGGCCACGAAATCCACACGAGTATTTGTGGGGTTTGTCGTTGGGCCTTTTATGTACGTGTATAAAAGTGAGTTACGTGTTTGCATGGCTGTGCTTATATGTCAATAGTATGAGAGGTCGATATCTCCATGTGTGACACATGGTCTGGTCTGGTCTGGTGACTCTGGTATTGACACTTTTCCCTTCGAGAAGGCTCAGAACTTCCGTTACTATTTTCCCATTATTTATTGCTTTTCTTATGATGTGGAAAATAAGAAGTCCGCAGTTTATACTATTTTTCCCCTAGTGGGGTTTATTCTTTGCATCTCATCCCATTCATATGCGTTATGATACCAAAATAGGGTGGTTTGAAGAAAATATGTACTTAATGGGAGGTTATAAGAATGATTTCAGAAGAGTACTAAAATTTTAAACTATTCCAGATTAATTTTGTTGTGGATGGTTTCCCTCTATAGTCAACAGTTTTCAAGTTACTCATCCGCTTTTATCTATTTTATGTTTCTCTTGTCTATTTAAGGTTGGTTTAATTGATAAAGGTTTAAATATTTATAATTATTTATATAGGTTAACCTTCATGAATATGTGATATAGTCAATTGATAAGGTTAAAATATTTATAATTATTTATTTATAGATTTTTCTTTGAGGATAAACTATATAGCAAACTGATAAGGTTCAAATATTTGTAACTATTGGAGCTGATGGCATACCTCTATCTTGGAACTAAGGTAACCTTTCTCACAACAAACTTTATGTACCACCAAAACAAATAAAAAGGCAAGTCTCTCTTTCCTTCTGTATTCTCTGTGTAATCTCCTTTCTTTTCTCTATCCACATTCGGAAACGGATTTCGCAGAGGAGACAGAACCTTTCTCTATTTTCCCACCTCTCCTAAATTTTCAGTTGATTTGATAATTGCTAGCAGTAGCGGAGCAGCGCCGACCATAATGTTGGTCCTCGGTCTTCAACCACAATAATTTTTATGGGTCAGTCAGCCCGAACGTGGAACAGCTTTATGGGTTACATAAGCTTTTTATTTTGGTGGGAGTTTAAAGGATTATGGGTTCGTTTGGCCCAAACTTTTGAAAATTTTTGGGCACTAATTCAAATAAGTCTAATTTGGAAAGTGTAAACCATTTATAAGGTAACAAACGGCCCAAATAGGAAAAGATAGACTCAATCTAAAACTGTTTCCTTAAACTAATAGGCCAACTAAAAATTTTATTATTGGTAAATTGGCCCAATAGGCAAAACTTTTTTATGGGCCAAATTCCCTCTGAATTGTGAGGCTAGAAAAATTTTAGGTACAAATTGGATAGTGGGCATTGGAGGAATGACTTCAAAGCTAACAAGACAGCAAAATGGTGCAGCAACAAGCTGTTTTTATAGCACAAAATGTGCAGTAACAAAGCTGTTTCAACGAAAAGAAAAGTGCAGCTAACAAAGCTGCATTATGGAAGAAACTAATATATGAAATGCAAATGCAAATGTGAGATGCAAATCAAATGCAAAATGGAGGCTGCAATTAGTCAACAACAGTGTAGAAATGTGACAGAAAATGACAGCTAGATTTCTGCATTGTTATGATCTTTTTCAATGTACTTTTTATGTTAGTTTATGTATTATAATCTTTGATTTAAATGTTAGGATAGATTTTGTAAGAAATATGTAACCATAAATCATGAAAAATAACTAAAGAATACTGTTCTTATATTGTAATTTTCCACTACAAATGGGCAGATATGTAAATGGAAAATGAGAGAATTGGAGAACAACTTCTCTCCATCCCGGTTGGTTGAATATATGCACCCTTCCATGGAAATGTCAAATTCATGTTCTAAGTTCTGCTCTCCTCCAAGTCCTCTTTCTCCACCCTTTTTCTTCCTAAATTCCAACAACGGGTGTGATTCAGCCAGAGCCTAATGACCTTCCTAATTGCATTCATATTTCATATCACTCAGTTGTATCTGAAATACATACATTACATGAAACAACTGTAATGGATAAGTTATCATCAGGAAATCTTGTATTCCTAATGTCCAGCGCTTTCTTCATAATGCAGCCGCTGATGATTCTTCCAAAGAGTTCCAATATCTGTTAAGTAACCACACAGAGTCGGCTTCTACAGCATAACCATCTTGATTACGATGCCAACCAAAGTAAGCATGTGTTCTGTTTTTTATTTCTAATATACCATGACCAAAACTGGCTTCACGAAAAGCTGAGTAACTTGGCTGAGGCTCTGTCATCCTGTTCAGTTGGACCACCTATCTTAGAATGACAATCTCAAAGAGAAATTTTGCTAACCAAAAAAAAAAAAAATCTAATAACCAGGGTCCATACTCTGTCACTAGTCCTTCCAGGTTTCCTCCATCTCCAATGGTTATGTACACTGGAGCAGATGGGTTGCTAATGGGGGTGCACAACGCATTGGTGATGTTGTATGCAATATTTGATATGCGTTCCTGAAATATTTATTCATTCTTCCTGTTAATGAAAGCACAAAAGGATAAAATGATAGGAGAAACTGAATAGAAGATTCTTTTATCAGTTATTTTCAGAAATAAGTATAGAACTTACAGATCTCTCATAGGCATGAACATGACCAGCAAATACAACATCCACTTTGTACTCAACAAACCATGGCTCATACATTACCCTCATGGTCTCTCCTTCCATATAATGATGTGCATAACTGTTATAGAAAGGACAGTGCATGAGAACAATAAGCCATGGCGTTTCAGTCCTGTTCACTTTTGTAAACTCATCTTTGAGCCATTTGTATTGAGGTGTGTATTTCCCTGTGACAAACATGGTCATGATTAGCAGATCAATATCACATTTCCACATGTCTGTTACCCATACACTAGCAGGATGTCAAAACCACTTTAGTAGTAGGACCATTCACCACTGAGTTACTATGTTGTCTTGCCAAGATTATATACTTTTACTAAAGTTTCATTTGCATTTACAGAGTTAGTCACATATCATTTGCCAAGGATAGACAATGGCAAATGTGAGCCTAAACCATGTTGACCAGTATTTGTCTGCCTTGTTTGACAAGTACCACAATTAAAGAAAATCTGAAGTTTGTACCATAAGCTGAGTATGAGGACATGATAATGATATATGCCGAAGCTCTCTTAATGGAGTACCAGAAAGGAGTTGTACTTTCTGATGCTTTGTAGGGTACATGGAAACGGTATGTATAGGGCTTGAAAGGAATAGCTTCACCCTGAAATAAAATCAGCATTGCTTAGTTACTTTCATAGTTGAATCATGGTTGCTTTCTATGCAAAATCATGCAAGTCATAATATTAAGGTAAGCATAACTAAGCAACAAAACTTAACCTAAGAACTAAAAAGGGCATCAAGTTAACAATAAAAAGAACAGGGAGAATGCATATAAGTAGCTGCATACAAATTGAGGAGCAAAATCAATTTCATGATTCCCAGCAGTCCATATCCAAGGCTGGTATGCAGCATTCCTCTCTATGAACCTCCCCCAGGTATCCCACCTGGTATTGTCATGAAATGGGTAGTCATCTGCATAGGAGAGGTCTCCCACAAACAAAAGTGTCTGTCCTTTTGCGGGGTTTAATTCATAATGGGTAAGTGTCCTATTAGAATCATGAGTCTGCCCAAGATCTCCTGTTCAAATTCATGACAGAAGAAAACCAAGATGAAAGAGCACATAAAACCAACAGACAGGTTCAAACTTCAGAAAATTAACCTCAGGATGGCCTAAATCCTTACTAGTTGTCAGTTACCAGTAAACGTAAATGACATTCATGTTCTGCACAAATTTAGCTATCAACAAAAGGATAAAATTGTTTGTTCTCCAAATGGTATTCACATAAACTTGGACAGTTTTTTAGATGCTTTTTTCCCTGTTTAGCATCGACGTACAAAAGAACGAGCATTTTTAGCTATTCTACCAGCCACTTGATTGAAACAAAATAAGAAACTTCTCAAAAGATTTAAGTACCTATAAGGCCAAAAGTGTATGGGACATCAGGGCCAACTTCAGGAGGAGTTCTAAACCAGAATTGCCGTGTTGTGTTTCCAATTCCAACCTCATAGTAATATTTGGTATCAAACTGCAAGTAATAATAAGGTCACACTACCCATTAATCTTCTACAAACTCCAGATGTTGAAAAGAAAGACTCTGGCAAAACCCAATTAAAATGCAAAAAAATCACAAGCAGGACAAACCTCCAAATCAGTTATTGTGCAGTGATGAATATAACCAGAAGTATAATTGAAGTACTTGTAGGTAAGAACAAATCCATCTGCCCAGTTTTTGAGTTCACTACTTTCAGCCCAGTAAAGCACTGTATTTGAACCACGTTCATCAGGAGTAATCCAAGACACAATCACACCCTTACCCACGTGATCTCCTTGTGTTATATGGACCTTCAATTTAAGAATCAAAACCAAAGAATTTAAAAAAGGAGAGTAGTGGACTTAAAGATTTAACCATTCCAATAAACAAGCAGAAACACAAAGATGAAAAGCAAGAACCAGAAAATCATACCTGCTGTGGAGCATTGTAGCCAGGAGGCACTCGAAACACATCACTATCTATAGGCATATCAAGAGACAAATCATCATTCCTCACAAAACTGCTAGTTCTTCCACCATTACAAACCTGGGCAACACTAAATATGAATCCCACAGCAAGAACCAAAACAAACCTGGTACATCCCCAGCTCACTTCCATCTCTGGAAATTTATTTCTCCCCATAAAAAAGACAACTTTACTCCTAATATGCTGTTTAGATTCAATTATACCAATCTAACATCAAACCCCAACAAGAATAATGAAAGAGAAAAAGGCCACCCTGTAAATCCCAGAAACCAGAATACAATCTGTATACGTCTTTCTCCTGTAACAATACGTATTCCCCAAAATAACTAGATCAGGTTGCAGTTTGAATCCGGACAAGAATAGATGTTGATGCGCCTCTCACTGTTGAGCGGCGAGACGCAAAGCTAACTGTTAGTCAAACTTCATAGAATGCTGCCATTTGTATGTGCAGTAATTTTATTTCAAGTTCAAAAGTCAAGACATAAGGAATATTCACTAGTGGATATACCAATACGCACACAGATATTTTGTCACCGTAATTAAGCAAACCTAAACTTGAAATGTGAAACTCTTGTGTCCTGTCCTTTACAATCAGCTTATTTCTTTAGTAGCCAAAATGGGGAAGAAACAGAGGAAGCTGAAATAAGGTTGAAGTAAACCTGTTGGCCCATTTCAAAGGTCCAATCTTGAGATTACCGGAAGCATGACGACAGGCCCAAACCCTGTCATGTTCGTCCAAAGACAACATAACCGTTCAGTTCAGAGGAATTTCTACAAACAGGTGGAAGGCATTACCAATAAAAGATTATGCATTAGGCACTTAAGTTCGAGATTTACCGTATCAGACAACAGGCCTGTAATAATCTTCCTAAAATGCAGGGCGGCAGCTTGGATTTTTCACTTAGTTCCATTTAGGTAATGAAAATTTTCAAAAATTTTAACTTATATATTGAAAAATTAAATTTTTAAGTCAATTTGTATAACAAAATATAAAGAGAAAAGTGTATATCAATCTTAATTAAAAAAAATTAAAATTTCAATCTTAAATTAAATTATTTTATTTAATTAAAATTTAATTTAAAATTTAAAAATTTATCTTATTAAATATTAATAATTAGATTTGAAAACTGATTATAATAAAATATATAATTGGTTTCTAAATTTAAGTGCAACATTTAAATTGAATTTTTAAATTTTGAATTAAGAGTTTAGTTTTTAATTATATGTTGAGACTATTTTTTAAAGATTAAGACTATTTTTTAAAAGTCGAGACTAGTATCCAGTAATATTAAATATAAAAAAATTTATAAAAAGATTTAAATGCTATTATTAATAATTAAATAACATGATTGATTTATTAAAAATATTTTATTAATTTCATAAATATTACTGCTTATTAACATCATTTACATTGGTAATAAATCACCATCAGATATTATTCATTTAATTTGAAATCTTCGGGTAGGATATACAAAACACTCAATCCCTTCTGTACTGCCGGAGACCCACACTTAGCAAGTCCAAAGCATACAATTCCAACATAATATCAATGTAAGCAGAACAATTCATTGTATTCCTTGCCTTTAGTTGCTACATCTTCATTCTTTTCAGAGGGAGAAGTCTTTTGTTCAGTCCTTCATGGCTGAACTTGGTGAAGAAAAAACAAGTTCAGCGAGCAATGGGTGCGTGGATTTCCGAGGGAGAACCGTCGATAAGCGGACCACCGGAGGCTGGAAAGCATCTCCATTTATCATAGGTCTTCAAAAGTTCTCTACTTTTCGCATCGAGATTGCAGAGAAGTCATTCAATTGACATTAAAATATGGGAGAGGTTTTTCTTTTCTTGATTTCTGCTTTGTTCTGTTTTGTAGTAAATGAGGTGGGCGGAGAGGTTGGCGTTTTTTGCAATTGCGGTGAACATGGTGGCGTACTTGGTCTTTGTAATGCATGAATCGCTTCCGACGGCGGCTCCCCACGTCACTAATTGGATCGGAGCCGCCTATGTTCTTACTCTCCTCGGCGCATTTTTGGCCGATGCTTACTTCGGCCGATTCATGACCATCATCGTTTTCTCTTGCATTTACGCGGTGGTAATATACCAATACTAACACCCAATAGGCCCAT